CTGAGCTACATCCCCAGCCCTTTTTATTTTTTATTTTGAGACAGGCTCTCACTAAGTTGCTTAGGGCCTTGTTAAGTTGCTGAGGCTGGCCTTGAACTTGGGATCTTTCCGTCTCAGCCTCCCTAGTGGCTGGGATGACAGACATATGCCACCATGCCCGTCACTTGGTAAGGCACTCCTACAAAATGAGGGACTAAAGCAAGTCAGAGGAATGTGGATTCTGGAAGTAGCACATCCAACCCAGCATAGTAGTGAAGGGAAAAACACGGTGACAGTTTTGCTGCAGGTCTAGAGAGAGACCAGTACAGATTTTACAGATGAAGGAAACACTAATTATGTCCTTAGACATTTTTGAAAACATCATAGGCACAGAAGTATTAGTTAAATTGACTGTGAATTCTGTATCCTTCCTCTCTGGGAAATTCTCCTTCAATGTTTCTTTGTAATTCCTTCCCACATCTTTTCTCCTCACAGAAAAAATTACAGAGGTGGTGAGTATAGTCGTCCCTCAAGCTCCATAGGGGTTGGTCCCAGGAACACCCTAAGATACTAAAATCTAAGGATGTTCAAGTTCCATATATAAAGTGGTATAGTATTTTCATATAACCTATCACATCTCTCTGTATACTCATGGTTAATTCCTATAATTATAATACCTAATACAATGCAAATGATGTGTAATGATAGTTGTACTATATTGTTTAGGGAATGATAACAAAAAACAGTATGTACACGTTCAGTATAGATGCAGTTCTCTCCCAGAAATTTTCCATCCTTGGTAGATTAAAGTCATGGTTGTGGAACTCTTGGATGTTGAGGACTGACTGTAGTAAGTCAACGATCTGGATCTACTGGCTTCAGAGTGAGAGTTTTTAACCTCTAAACATACGGTGTTTCTCCTGGTAACCTATCTTAAAGTCATCAAAGCTTTCCACTAGGAAAATAAAAATAGTGGTGTGTTCCATGTGTACTAAATAATCACTTTAAAAATTGGAGTCAGAATGCAAAAGATGTAAATTGCTAAGTTAAGAAATAGTTGTATAGAAGTCAAGATATAGTTTCTAGAGAAATGAAGGTAACCACTGGGAGAGAAAATTCAGAAAAAGTGGGATAATGATTTGGTAGAAGGGGTGGATACAGGGAAAGAGAAAGGAAAAGACAGGCAAAATATTGTTGTTTTGCATTTTTTTTTAAACCAGGGATTGAACTCAGGGGCACTTAACCACTAAGCCACATCCCTATCCCTTTAAAAATATAGATGTGTTTATAAAATATATTTTTACAAAATATATATATTTGGGAGGGTACTGGGAATTGAACTCAGGGGCACTCAACCACTGAGACACACCCCCAGCCCTATTTTGTATTTTATTTAGAATCAGGTTCTCACTGAGTTGCTCAGGGCTTCTCTAAGTTGCTGAGGCTGACTTTGAACTGCAATCCTTCTGTCTCAGCCTCCCAAGCCTCTGGGATTATAAGTATGTGCCACCATGCCTGGTCTTTGCTTTGCATTTTTAATTACCTGAAATTTAAAAATTAAATCATGTGTCTGTATTACCTTTAAAAACTTTTAATTTGTATATTTAAAAAAGGGTGAATAGGGCTTATTTGGAAGTCAAATTGGAATTATAGCAATGTGCAAAGGAATAAAAGAGCTAATTTGTGGCTTGGTTTGGAAAAGTGCAGTTTCATGACTAGACTGTGGGGTGGTGGGTGGGGACAGGTAGGAGTAACTGGAGATGATTCTGCAAACATAGGTGAGGGTAAGAGTGTGGGAAGCATTGAATGCCACACTAAGGAGCATGAAATTCCCTTTGTTGGTGGTGGGGAGCTATGAAAAGTTTTGAGCAGCAAAATGCCATCTGTGTTTCAGAGGACTATCCTTATGGCAGGGCAATGTGGAACAGGGTTTGGAGTGTGGAGATGGTAGGAAGTAGGAGGGCCAGGTCAGAGGCAGTTACACAGGTACCTGTGTAGAAAATGATGCTCCATGACTGCACCTGGAGTAGAACTCATCCCACTCTTTAGCTGCCTGCCTGGATGGTGGTCCTCTGACCAGGGCTCTTGTTGGCCACAGTGACACCTGCTCAGGGAGAACTTCGTGGGACAGCAGGCAGATAGCAGTGGGTAGGCCACATGGAACTACTACAAGACTCCCACGGGGGCTGCATCTTATTCCAACTTTTAGACTTTCCTATAATTTGCCACTTTTAAAGACATGCCTTCGTCTTTAGCCAAGATTTTTACCAATCCCTCTCTAACCCCTCCACACCCTTCCATTGGTTTTTATAAGTAGTTTTTTAGTATTTTCCTCTTGCCTTGCCAACTCATCTAAGAAGTAGGAATTCTTTTCTCCTCCTTTTGTTATTAGCATTTTTAAAATAAAAAAATGGAAAAAATGAATGCTTTTACACTTCTGGCCTCCTGCTTTCTAGGTTCACACCCACTGGCACCCTCCCTTTGAGACTTACAGCATTCACCCCACTGGGCGTGTGCTTGAGTGAGGAGGAGCCTCAGCTCTGTCTCTCCTGTCATCACTATGTCCTCTCTTCCTTCTTCCCCACTTCCACTCTCCCTTTCTCCTGCCCTCCAGTTGCCAGGCAACCTAGCTCAGGGGCAAGCAAAGCTGGCTGGGGGTGCCTAGCTGCCAAAGCCGCCCTTTTCCCCTCTCTGGCAGCCTGGCTGGGTGTTGGGCAACTTGCTGAAGGTCAAAGGCAGGCATCCACAGCCGTGGCATTCTCTCCTGTAGGTGTAAACCTGACTCAGGAGGGGAAATACTTGAGGGCAGGGAATGGGGTGAAGTAGGGCAGTTAATTTTCCCTTCACACCCAAGAGGCTGTGTGGTTCCTGCCTTCCGGCAGAACAGGGTAAAAGTGGAGCTGAATCGGTCTTTGTGCATTTCAGGAATGTGAATGTCATTTCCCTCCATGCCTCACCCTTCCACTGGCCGTGCTGGAGAACTAGACTTGACACTGTAGAATGACAAGTTTACTTGTTAGCAGAGGTTGGAAGTTTTGAGTTGGTAACTAGTATCAAGTTACTCAGTTACGAGTGGGAGTAGTGGCATGGGCCCCCTCTGGGAGCTTGTTAGAAGTGCAGACCCCTGCCCCATCCCAGATCATGGAACCAAAATCTGCATTTTGATGGAATGGCCAGATGTTTGTATGTACATTACATTTAAGAACCACTGATCAAATACCCTGCTGTTCACTTGGTTGAAATGAAAGTATGTGGCCATCAGTGGTATCCTGTATTCCACAGACTTGCATTTCTCCTTTTCAGAGATGCATCATGAAGCTATAGCCTTAGGGTCTTTCATGGATTTTTTTTTCTCTCTCTCTCTTTCTGTGTGTGTGTGTGTGTGTGTGTGTGTAATGCAAATGCAAAGACAGGCTTAGCCTAACATCAGCCTCTTCCCCTTTTCCCCCATTCCTCCTTTTGCAGTTTTGACACAAGAGTTGTTCAGATACACTATCTCACCTTATTTGCACATACTCCTGAGGGGTAATAAAGCAGGGATTATGAATCCTGGAAATGACTTATCTTGTTCAAGGTCACAGACCTAATAACTGGACTCACCCTTGTGATTATTGAACATCACCTCTTGCTTCCTTTTGTGTGTGACCTGAGCTAGAACTTTCAGTCCTTTAAAACACGAAGCTCAAAAAAGTAATTATTTTTTAAAAAAGGCAATCAGAAACATAATGTTTGGTTTGGTTTGAGTCACAAATTCCACCACGTAGGGCTGAAACTAGGGACTTTTTCCTGAGCCTCTGCAAATTATTCCAGTAGTTCAGAGGCCTTTTTGAACGAGAGGGTACATGGATTGAGTTTCAAAGAAAAGAATGTCGAAAGAAATCTTCCAGATGAGAATGGTCTCCAGATGTGAACATTGCTCTTCCAGATGTGTGGACGAGTGTGGTGGGAGAAGAGGGGGGGAATGAGATGCCTTACATGTCTGCAAAATGAAATGGAAAAACCTCTCTCAGCCACAGAGGAAAGTAGGACAAGAGGAAGAGAAATGGAGTCCAAGTTAAACTCTTCAATGTGGAGCTGGGCTAACAAGGAGGAATAGAAAGAACGGTTCCCAAGCAGATTGATGCTTTAAATGTGCAGTATGCATGGCGGCCACATTCAGACAGTGCTGCTGGAGCACAAACTTGGAGGATATTGTGCCTGTAGAAACTCACCCTTCTTCTTAGACCTGAGTGGACCTGCTTGGGCCCTGGGAGGAGCCAGTCTGGAACTGCCGAGGCTGCAGAGCCAGCAGGACAGGCTTGGGGACTTACTCAGGGGAGAAGGGAACCCATTCCAGAATGCGGAAGGAGAAGCAGCCAGGAATGGCACAGTTCTTTCTTTTTTCAACTTCTAAATCAGCAATGTGTTCTCTCAAGGATCACTAGGTTTATTTCTCATGATGTCAGGAGATCCCATGTTTCTCAAATGAGTAAATCGTATAGAAAATGGAGGTCTTGTGGCCAAGTCGACTTGGTTTGTCTCAAAATCTGCAAATCCCTACCATCACCAAACTCCTGGCTGCATGGAATTATACCCTTTGTTTCCTTCTGCCAGCACCTCACCTTCAGGAATATCTGCCAAATTACTGTTCTAGGTGTCCATCTACCCACCTCTCCACTTACCAGACCTCCCTCTTCTTCCACGTAGAGGCATCCCTAAGTCCCAATTTCCATGACATCTGGAAGTGTGACTTCTCTGAGTGGGTCCAGCTGGTGGAAGGTGTTCACAGTCTTATTTTTCTCTAAGGGTTCTCAGAATCTAAAGAATATATTCCAGCAAAAAGTAAGTTGTTAATTACTTGCATTATTAAAGATGTGCGCAAGTAATAATGCCTATATACCGATTACACACACATACACACAAACTGGCATAATCTCTGGTTAATATTCTAATAATATCATTTAATAATCGATGAATTGAAAAGTTAACTGGCTGTCTTCTCTTTTCCTCTGTGGGGCCTTATTCTCCTCTGGGATCTCCAGTGCAATGTGTTTCTCAAGTGCCATATCAGCCAGAAGGCAGATTTTCCAGTTGGAAGGCATTCAGACCACTGCAGAGGTAAGCCCAGTACCAGCCCCCTGTGGGCAGATCAGTGTTGCTACCAGGAAGTAAGTATAGAATCATCACCATCATCATTATCACATCATCATCAATGGCTAAGAGTTCTTCATTTATTATTTTTTTTTCATGGTACAAGGGATGGCATATTGGAACTTTCTATCGTTGAACTACATCCCCATCCTTTTTTAATTTTTTTGAGACAGGGTGTCACTAAGTTGCTTACAGCCTTGCTAAGTTGCCTAGGCTGGCCTCAATCTGGTGATCCTCTTGCCTTATCCTTCCAAATAGCTGGCATTACAGGTATGCACCATGTTGCCCAACTCCTTTTATTCTTAGTCTGGTTGCCATTGAATTTGAAAGCTATTTTTTAAGTTTAATCCTAAGTCTATCTTTGATATTCCAATTAGTATCCAATTCACAGTTTTATGGGATTGACTCTGTCCTGGTTACTAGGTGAATATATCTTTAAATTTTATTATACTTAAAACCATTTGAACTGATTGAAAACTTAGGAAAATTAGTTTGAATTGATTGAAAGCTTGGAAAAATTAGGTTTAGTTCAGTATGTGGTCTAGAAAATGTATGCACTCTATCTTGGTTTTTAACTATAAATCAAGTATATTTCATGCCTCTGAATTGGACAGATTTCTCTGTTTGACATGTGTCATGGCAAAGGCATGCTATTTTGTTCTTGGATTCTCCATTATTTTGAAAAGATTTCTAAAGCCTAACACTACGATTAGCCCATCTTTCCCATAAGTACTGCACTGTCGATTGTTAATCATTACATTTAGATCAAGCATCAGGATCATAAAGATTCCCTGCCTTCTGTGCACCCTTCCACCCACTGCCCAGAATCAGGAGAGGGTATTTTGGTTCATCTGCTTCCCTGGTGTGAGCAGGACTGTTCAGACAGAAGGGACATGGTCCTCCTCCTCTGTCAACTCAGAACTCTGCCAGACATCATTCCTGCTCGAGAGGGGATCCCAGCCACATGCTCTGTAACTCATTAATCCTCAATAGTGACTAATGCCTCAAAACCCAGCCCTTGTCTTTGGAGTCCAGGGGTGTAATTTCATTGGAATGTTTCTGTTGACTTGTTCTCTGCCTTTCTTTTCACCTGTCTGTTATGCTTACCTCTGCTCTCCTGCACTTGTTAATTCTAGTCCTTTGGTGTGACCCAAACTAAAGAAGATGCCTCAGGTATGGACTCTGTACCTATTTGACTTCTCCTGGTGTGTTCTGATAGCTCATCCTCTACTATTAATATATTAGATCAAACCTACCCTTTCTTGGGTGCCATATATATATATATATATATATATATATATATATATATATATATATATAACATTTATTGCTACTAACGATCTAACCAGCTAGATGGTGTCATTCCCATTTTTTAGATGAAAGGTCAGAGAGGCTGAATCCCTTGCCTTGCAGCTAGAAATCAGATTAAACCTGGTCTGACTCCAAAGCCTCTGTTTCAAGGACTTCCAGCTCCCATTCATATTGCCCCAGTCAGACCCTCATGATGTCAGGAAATTCTCAACTTCCCAAACCAGTCTATTTAAGTTCATTTTACTAATAAAAATAATAATGCCTGTGTGTCTTGTAGGTGGTATAATGAAGTGAAAGGAAGAAGAGAGTGGATAGCCAGAAAGTTTGGAAATCACTCCGACTACACTAAAGGAACACTTTGGGTTCCAAATGAGATGTTTCCCTCAGGATGACTTTTGCCATAAGGGTGTGACCTTACCACCACCCTTGTCATTGGGTGAATGGATTGAACCCTGTGACTGAACCTGACTGAGGAGATTCCTTTCCGGTTCATGACCCTAATCTTGGAGATGAAGAGTCTTTAATCATAGTTCCTTGAGTAACTGAAGAGCCGGAGGTATCAGAGTGAGACAACGGGGTGGAGGGCTTGATCCTCATTTTATCAAACAATTCAGAGTAGACCTTCATTCTAGAAGTTGTTACAAGATAGCATTTTTGGTAAAAGAAAATAATTTCCTCCCCAGTCCATTGTCTTGTGCTACCCCGTATTCCTGATCCATTGAAAAAAAACCTGTCTAGGCCACCAGAGGACAAGCCTATGTCTATGTACAGTAGAGGCAAGTTCATTCCTCCTTCTTCCAGAAAGCATTTGACACAGTACAAATAATAACAAGAGGCACCCTCAGTGACAAATTTTTCCCCCAGCAGTGATAATATCTTTGCTGTGTTGTCCCCGGAACTCTGAAAATAATCCTGAGGGTCTCAAGCAGGTCTTTTCACAGAAGCTGAAAGCTGAGAGTCTCAAGTGTAATTCTGAAGGTTGCTATAAGAAGTGGCATTGATGGAAGATCCACAGGACACTTTTCATAGGGCAGCTAGAGGAGATTGTTAAATCCAGGACTGTGAAGAAAAGGGTTTCAATTCTGAGCCTTCCAAGCAAGTTTTAAGGAAAGTGACTGTTCATCCTTTACTGATTACAAATGAAGGAGACGAAGCCATGCTTGCCTCAGAATCCTCTTCTTGCATTGATTTGTACTTAGGGATGAGGGTGGTAATTGGGGGAGGGAGACCAAAGCTTCTTGTTTCTTAGTTGTACGTAATGCTTGCTCAGGAAATATGAGCAAATGTCTCACAATCTTTATCATCATGTATTTATTGTCTTTCTGGTTGACTGTACAGAGACTATCATATCTACAAAAATAAAATGATGCCTCTGTGGAGAGTCTTTCATAATGAGATTTCTGGGCCAAGTCATCTTCCCCCTAATTTGCAGAGATGAGAATGAAAACCAAGAGAGGTAACTAGTTGAAGAATAAGTCATCAGCAGAGAAGCTGACAGCTCAGCCTTCTTCAAACTGGCTTGTAGCCAAGAGACGGGCTCAGTGCAAGACCCAGGTGTCACTCCAAGCCCTCAGTATGCATCCTTTACTGCAATGGGCACATGTGGTTAGCACTGAATACAGGAGTGGGATAGAACAAGTGTAGTCACTGAATTAGTTGCAATTTGAAATCTATTAGTTGCCTTAATGATTAACAAACATCCACTTAATATCTATATGCCAAATATTGCACCTTACATCAAGGAGGGGATGCAAAGGTTATGACGTTTCAACACAACTATGCAGAAGAAAGGACAGCATAATCTGTACTTTGCCTTTGTTAACAAATAAGCATGAAACCGTTAAAGAATGAAGCGGAGAATGTCTTCAAAATGGCAAAGAAAGGAGAATGAAGGGAACACTAAAGAAAATGAGTTCTGTTCTCTTGGCTGTGTAGTCAGGCTGAGTTCTTTTTAACATTTTATTTGTTCTTTTAGTTATACATGAGAATAGAACGTATTTTGACATATTATACATACCTGGAGTCTATCTTCCCATTTTTGTGGTTGACGTGATGTGGAGTTACACTGGTCGTGTATTCATATATGAACACAGGAAACCTGTATCCAATCCATTCTACTGTCTTTCCTATTCCCATCCCTCCTCCCTTCCCTTCATTCCCCTTTGTCTAATCTAATGAATGTCTATTCTCCTCCCACCCTTATTGGGGGTTAGTATCAGCATACCAGAGAGAACATTTGGCCTTTGGTTTTTTGTAATTGGCTTCAGGCTGAGTTCTGGAGGAGGATGGACAAAGACTGCTTCAGAGAGGAGGGGAAGCCATATAGAAATGCTATAGTTAAGGCAAAGAGACGAGGATCTTCAGGTAAGTGAAGAACTAGGCAAAGAAGGAACATAATTGGATCCATAGGGATCTAGGTGCTGCAGCAGGTGATGAAGTTGAAGGAGAGTGGAGTGGGATGGTAAGGAGCTACACACAGGGTCTGAATCAGATATGAACCGATTCTTGAAGCAGCTGCTCACAGTATCGATCAGCATAAAAACAACTGAAACCAAAGAAACCCATAAGAAGACAGTTCCAATAGTCTAATATTGAGAAATGAAAGCTGAACTAGTGTGGCTATCTTTGGAATGGTGAAAAGGATCCTAAAACAAAGTGGACAAATAATTAACTGGTTTTGGTTAAGAAATGGCTATGGGAATCGAGGAGTGATACTGAATGTATTTTTGTTGCAACTTGGAAGGTTTTTTTTTTTGTATCAGGGATTGAACTCAGGGGCACTCGACCACTGAGCCACATCCCCAGCCCTATTTTGAATTTTATTTTAGAGACAGGGTCTCACTGAATTGCTTAGCACCTCGCTTTTGCTGAAGCTGGCTTTGAACTCTTGATCCTCCTGTCTCAGCCTCTGTAGTGGCTGGGATTACATGCCAGGTGCAACTTGAAATTTTTGAACTTAGTTCAATGTCCTTATTTTATAATTGAAGAACCCAGGGCCTGATGAAAGTGGTGAAGAAGTTGTACCTATAGACATATACATAGGCTAATGAACTTCAATTAGTTCTTTATCTAGAAAATTAACAAAATATATTTTAGGTTTCAGACACAGAAATTTCTGCAATATAATTGGGAGATCAGAGGAAACAGAAAACCAGATTGGCCTTGTGACCTCTGCACTGATTCCAGAAAACCTGACCTCTACTAATCCCCAATTTTCAGAGGACTTGGTAGACTACCCACAATGCTTCAGCCAGCACCATATCTCCACACCACATTTTATTATTTTTTTTAAAAAAAGTTTAAATCCTTTTTCATGGGATGGGAATGCATTTCATTTAGTTTTATTTAAAATACATTGTTAGAGCTGTGCTCGACAAATCTGCCAAATACTATAAATATGTATGAGTTTGCAGTGGCCTCCTACACCCATGGAGAGGCCAGTTTTTGGATGGTTAACAGACACGGAGAATTTTAAGTACATCCTGTTCCACTAAAGCTTTTTTTCCCATTCTGCGCTCCCTCCTTTACTCCCTCCTCTTCACCACCCTCCTTCCACCCCAGAAGAAAAATAATTGCTATGAGGGCTGAGCCTGGGCATAACTGATTTCTTCTTTCTTTTCCTTTAAGTGTTGCAAAACCTTAAAATCATAAGGGAATAACAGCCCTCCCCCAGCATACTAATACAGCTCTCCTCTGGCAAACAGGAAACTATCCCAGAGCTGTGGGCTCCTGAGCCAGGAAATTGGTCTTTGCTGCTCTGGCTACCTTCCCCACAGGTTCTTCCTGGCTATTCAATGCAGTTAAAAATAGTAACCACCAAAACCAGAAGAAAAGATGATTTCATTGTCTAACCACTGTAACTTGCGGCCTGATTTGGGTGGTTGCAGATGGGGCTAATCCCCTGACTCGGCACCCTGAGAATTCTTGTAGGGTCAAAGTTGGTCAGTCCAGCAGATTTCAACACCTGGTATCTCCGAGGAGCCAGCTCATCTCAGGAGGGAGGTGAATCAGGCAGAGCTGGCTCACCACACGTGTGCACACATGTGCACGCACATACTATCAGGTGAGGCAGCCATGGAAATCTAAGATCTCCCCTTGGCAGGGCCTGTGTTCAGTACAGATGGCACAATGCCCACCCCAGCCTGGGAAAGTGAGTCTGTGGGCAAAACCTCCCTGCTGCCTGAGCCAGTCACTCCTGCTATGCTCTGGAGAATGTGCATCCTCACCTCACTCTGTCAGGTAAAAGGATTTGTAGAATATTCTCAATTCCGCTCAGCATAGGGAACTGTCAGAGTGATGGGTATGGAAGGCACCAAGGGGCTCTGAAGGCTAAAAGAAGAGAGAAATAGTTTGAGAAGTTATGCCTTCTCAAAGGGTCATCAACATTAGTCTTGAAGAATGAAAGAAAAATTAATTTTTATTATAAAGTGTTCTTCACTACTGCTTGACATGCCAATTAAAATTCTCCAAGTCATAGGTCAGTTCATAGTTATGAAAGATCCACATCCTTTGGTATATGGCTCATGGTCCTAGTTTTGCTTAATTTGCTACTCTATCAAATAAGTGGATTTAAAAATAATTAGTATGTGTGTGGTATCTCCCAAGGTGTTGTGGTGATATAGAAGATACATAAGATCTGTTTACTGTTTTTGAGGATTATGTCAGTCAGCTTTGCATTACTATAACAAAATACCAGAGATAATGAACTTATAAAGAGAAGGTTTATTTTTGGCTCACAGTTTTGGAGGTTTTCGTCCATGATTGGTTGGCCCTGTTGCTTTGGGCCTGTGCTGAGGCAGTGCATCATGGTGTATTGCAGAGCAAAATTATTCATTTTGTGGCTTGGGAGCGAAAAAAAAGTGGAAGGGGCTGGGGTCCCACTAAAAGGGAACACCCCCCAATTACATAAGGAGCTCTCACTAGGCCTCTTAAAATTTCCACCACCTCCCAAAAGTGCCATTAGGGGAAAAAGCCTTGAACATAGAGGTCTTTGGGGGACATTCCAGATCTGAACTATAGCAAAGACTTTATAGTTTAGTTAAGGAGAGGGAACTACTCAGCTAAAGTAAACTGGATACAAACCATGCCTAGCATTCGACCAATAAGTACTAAGCACCTACCATGGTCTGCTCTGGGGAATTGAGCCATGAAGAAAGAATCAAAGAAATGCCTGCACTCCAGGGACTTATGTGGTTATACATGAGGCTGGTGATGGCCAGGATAAAGAAGGAAATATGCAATATGCTGGGTCATTAGGGAGGAAAATCAAGCAACAAAAGCATAGAGGGAGTGCTGGGGGAGGCAACCAGCAAAATTCTCACTGAGAAGGTGATATGAGGAATAATGTGTAAGAAGCAAGTCCAGTCGCCTCTCAGCATCCCAGGGGGAGTGGTACCAGGATCTCCTCAAATACTGAAATCTGGGATGTTCAAGTCCCTTATACAAAATGTCATAGTGTTTGCATGTAATCCACTCACATCCTCCCATATACCTTTTTTTTTTTTTTTTGCACCATCCTGAGGATTGAACCAGGCCCTGGCACATGCTAGGCAGGCTCTGTACCACTAAGCTATATCCTCAGACTTTTAAATTTTATTCTGAGACAAGATCTCCCTAAGTTGCCTAGACTGGCCTCAAACTTCAGTCTCTCAAGTAGCTGGGATTACAGGTGTGTGCTACTGCACCCATCTCCCATACACTTTGAATCATCCCTTAGATTACTTACAACATTTAATTCAATGTCAATGCTATATAAATAATTGGTTTACCATATTGTTTAGGATTAAGAAAAAGTTCTCTGTATACAGGATGGACACAATTTTTTCCTCCAAATATTTTCAATCTCCATTGGTTAAATGTGCAGATGCAGAGCGTGCAGATATGGGAGGCTGACGGTGCACAAATTATACGGCCCATCAGGGACAATACTCTAACACAGAGGCAGATCAGTGAAGAGACAGAGAAAATTCATGCAGGAGTGAGGTTAAATCTAAATGTTTGAAAATGCAAAAAGCTTTATCTATTTAGAAGAAGAGAATAAGAGAGATCAAATTGATATAACCATGAAATTCTGTACAGTGCAATGAATATTTTCTATGTCCCATGTGTTTCACATTTTAAGGAAAAACATTTTGTCTAATTCTACATTTGGGCAGATATGTCAGCATCTAGAAATGCCTGTGGATGTCTAGTGGTCCCCATCACTGCACCTAGGCTGCAGGGCAATACAAGTGGGGGCTGCTCCTCGTTCTAGCAGTGCTCATGGGGAGTGGCCAGGATAGAGGGGGGCAGTGGCTTTGCCTTCAGCCAGAGGGATAGGGTTCCAGGCCTGCTTGACCACTTCCTAACCCTATGACCTGACACCTACCTACTTCTCT